AGCTCTAGACAGCTGTATATAGAATGTAGAAGAACGCATGCTTTGGGTTCTAGGAGATGTGAGTTCTAATTCTATTCAGTTATAGATTCACTTCTTGACATCCCTTTATCTATAAGATGAGACTGATGATGCCTCACAGAGCTGCCAAATTTGTATAAGATGGATTGGGAGTGGGTTAAGAATGCATGGTGACCCGTGCTGCTAAGGGTCAGTGGAACAAGCTTTCGTGGCTTTGTGTTTCTCTCCTGAACCCTTCTTTCTGTTCACAGCTGTTATTTCCCAAGAGTCATCTAGCCTTGCCAGCTTTATTTTTAGTCTTGCAGTCACTCTTACTGAAAAACCAGTAATATTCAGTATTTATATTACATGGTAAACTATGTAGATGCTTTTCTAGCTGAGTCAGGTAACTACTACTATATTTTCTTTTATTTTTTGGTACTGAGTATCAAATGCAGGACCTTGTACTTGCCAGGCAGGTGCTTTGCCACTGGCTAAATCCCCAACCCTTTATTTTAAAGAGGGAAGAAAAAATGATACAGAAGTTCAAAACAGGCTAATAGGGGATTTAACAATGGTTAATATGTTGCATATTGTTATCTTCAAAGTAGTTGCTCAGATTACAACATACAGACATGAAAAATTGATCAAACAACATAAGCACTCAAACCACTCTTTTCAGTGAACCAACAGAAATTAGTTAATTGTCTTAGGTATCTTGTGTGTGTGTGTAGTTTTTTCTTTTCCCTTTCTTCTTTCCTTTTTTTCTCTATCTTAGGTCTTTTAATCACCTCCTCCCCCTTTCACAACACCCATTGTGTATTTTGGATCTTACTTACTCTTTCTGTTTCTCACCCTGGGGAGACAGTAGATGTTAACACATGTGAGTCTGACTTATTTCACTTGTGAATATGGCCTCTGGTTGCATCCGTGTATCTATAAAAGCCTTGCGTTTATCCTTCTTTTACTATATTTTGTTGAACAGCTTTCCCGCACCTTCTGGAATGATAATTGCTTATTTTTCTCTTCACTTTGTGTGCTGTTGTGCCTACCCTGTTTCTTTCCCAAGCACTTGAACAGAACTGTAGAATTCTTCTCCGCTTCAGCTTAGCTGTGCAGTGCGCTTTTGAAGCCTTTTTCTTTCTCTTCAGATACTCTCCTGGGAGGGAGCCTCCGCCTTCCCGTTCCGGAGGCCGCACTGGCTGCACTCTAGGCCTGCTGCAGGGCTTTCATCCTGTCTGCTCCTTTCATCATCTTCTGGGAATTTCCTTTACTTCTCGCCTGTTTGGATCATGTTTCCTGGTTCCTGTTTTTTCTTGTTTCTTGATTTATTCCCTTGTTTTGTTAAAATCCACCTTCTACTCGTACTTTTCCCCAGCCTATTTAGTACCAAATCCTCTTTTAAGACAACTCTTGTAGAATGCCTATTTTCCTTTACTTTGTGTCCACGTCACCCTCTCATAGCTTGCTCCATCGTAACTGTTGAGCACCAGCTTTTATGTGCCAGGCCCTCTGCTCATTGCTGGAGAGCCTACGGTGAGAAAATGAGGTTCTGGTGAAAATGAGGGAAATTCTGAAATATGCACAAGAATTCCTGAGTTCCACTGGAGTCCACGCTGCCCCCTAGTGGCCTTTTTGAGAAAGCGGGAGGAAGTTTTTGGTCACTACAATAATAGAAAGGCTGCATTTTGTAGTTGGGCACTACCTACAAGTGACCTATAATATGTCCTGCATAACTGTGGAACATTCCAGTAGACATTCATGTGTTTATAATTGTGCAAGCTTAGGACCTAACTCCATTTCACATACAAACCCACATATAAAAGTACTTTTTTTTTTTTTTTGTCTTTTTCCTTTTTACTGGTACCGGGGATGAAACTCACGACTGCTTGCTTGCAAGGCAGGCGCTTATGCCACTGAGCTAAATCCCCAGCCCCCCCCCACCCTTTTTGTCTTTTTGCTTTTTATCAGTACTGGGGATCGAACTTATGACTGCCTGCTTGCAAGGCAGGCGCTTATGCCGCTGAGCTAAATCCCCAGCCCCATAAAAGTACTTTTAGTACTTTATACATTGTCATTGCCTGTGCGACACATAGAAAAGAATTATTGTTGAGCCATGTGAGTTTATTAACAGCAACATGAGGTGTTTCAGGAATTCTTTATATTAGAATTATAGAAAATGGCTTCACAAATCACTAACTACAGTTATTAATGCTGTTAATAAAAATATTAAATAGGATCTTTTTGGAGATAGATAATTTTATAAGCAATATCTATCCTTCATTGTTATCAGGGGTTTATAAAAATTTTAATCTATTACCCAAGAGATTTTGCTTAATGTGTGTGTATGTGTGTTTTTGTGCGTGCCCGCGTGTTGTGCTACAACACTGAGTGCACAACCTGATGAATTTGTACACACACCTTAGGTGCTTATGTCACCACCACCTTAATCTGGATGTAGAGTTTGTCTGCAGGTGGAAAACTTAGGATACTGATTTTTAAATACTATATCTTCAAAGAATGTGCCTATTACATTTTTGTATGTGCAATAAATATGATCCAGAATATCCAGAAAATCTAGAAGCGTAAAGAAAATATTACATTGTAAAGAGAATATTTATTGTATTTTTGTTGCTTCCAGCTTTTTGGACACCATAGCATTTCAGTATACAAACACTTTCCTTATACCCCTTCTTGATTGTTATTCAGTTTCTACCAGAGGTGACCACTGCTCTAACTTACAATACACAGATTGGTTTTATCTGTTTTGTTGTCATTGCTGGATTTTTTGTTTGTGTGTGTGTTTGTTTTTGAGATAGGGTCTCACTATGTAATTGAGCTCAATTGTAATTCAGTTGACCTTGAACTCTTTATGTAGCCCAGGCTGGCCTCAGACCCACAGCAGTGCTCCTGCTTCAGCCTCCCAGGGGCTGAGATTGTAGGTGTGCGCTGTCACACCTGGCTGGTTTCATCTGTTCCTGGATGCCATAAAATGTCCATTGTGCATTGTGCTGTGGAAAAGTTTACCCTTTCACTTTCAACTTGTGAATCTAAGTGAGTCTCTTGTAAATAAAATACAATTGGATCATATCCCTATTCATTTGCTAACTTCTGCTTTTAATTGGGGAGTTTTTAATCATCTGTATTTAAAGTAATTACTGTTACAGAAGGACTTTTCTTCTGCCATTTAGATATTTACTTTCGGTATTTGTTTAACTTTTTGTTCCTCAATTTTGTCATTACTGCCTTTTAAATTTAATTGATCTTTTGCAATATAGCATTTTTCTTTTCTGCATAACTTTTAGTGGCTTCTCTGAAGATTACAATACATGTCTTAAATTTATAACAATGTAACTCGAAACAGCCTAGTTTCAGTACTACATAGTTTCAGTATTACTTAATTTCCTCTCCTATCCAGCCCTGTCCCTCTTCCTTTATGTTGTCATTGTCACAAAATACATTTGTATGCATTGTTTGTTCATTACTGCAGATTTATAATTACTGTTGTGTTCATTTGTTTTTAAATCATACAGAGAAGAGCTATGGTGGCTTTTTATATTTACCTTGGTAGGTACAGTCAGTGGTATTCTTTATTTCTTTCCATGACTTTCAAAATACTGTTGTGTTTTTTATTTTAGCTTGAAAACCACTTTTAATAGCTTTGCAGTGCAGTTCCACTAGCGACCGTCTCCTCCAACCTTATCTAGGAAGGCCTTCGTTTCTACTTCACCGTTGAAGGGTATCTTGAATTTATAGCAAATTCTTGGTTAGCAGATTTTTTGGCACTTTAGCTGTGTCACTTACCTTACTGCCTTCTACTCTTCCTGGTTTCTGATGAAACACTGGCTCTTGATTTTTTGGGAGCCTTTATCTATGATAAATTTCTTCTCTCATGCTGCTTTCAAGGTTCTCTTTCAACCTTTTGATTATGCCTTGATGTAGCTCTTTCTAAGTTTACTCTACTTGGAATTTGTTAAGCTTTTTGGATATGAAGATTTGTGTTTTTCAGCAAATTTGGGGAGTTTAATGGCCATCATTTCTTTAAATACTGTTTTTGCCTTTCTTGTCTAAGAGTTCAATTATGCTTGTACTGGTGTGCTTCATAGTGTCTCTGGGGCTCACAGGCGCAGTGTATTATTTTTAGCTACCGTTCTCTTTCTTCCCTTCAGACTAGGTGCTCCATTTGGCCTGTCTTCACAGTCAGGAGTTTTCTTTCTTTTGCCTGTTGAAATCTGCTGTCAAAATCTCTAGTGAGTTTTTCATTTCAATTATTTTACCTTTCGGCTCCAGAATTTCTCTATGTTTCCTTTTTATAATCTCAGTCTCTTTTTGATGAGACACATCATTCTTGCTTTCCTGGCAGTTCTGTCCAACCCGTTACATGCCTGTATTATATTAAAAAAGTAACACTTTTGTTACCTGTATGCATTAACTGTTAATATATGTTCTTTACATGAGCCAAGGGAGTTCCTCTTCAGTCAGTGCAGCCAGGTGTGTAGTTCTTTGTCCCTAGAAATTTCATTTAAGCAGAGGCCTCGGCACAGTGTGACTGTATAGTCTAAGTTGAAATAATGTTTTGAATTTTTAAAATTCATAGTAATACAGAAATTCAGTATTTTCATCTATTTGTATAAACTTGTAACGACAGTGTTCAAAGACACTAACCACAGTGGTGGATGATACATAGAATGAACATCGGGCTTTCTTCTAGGCACACACTTTCTTGACTATGAGAGAATGGACTCTACTATTTACACTGGTAATTTTTGCTCTACTGTTTTAATCATCTCATTATCGTTTCACTTAACTACATAAATGTAATAGAGTACTTGTTTTACTAGATTACAAAATATCCTGTTAGTAGATTATAAAATACTCTCAGAAAGATGAAGCTAAGGTAAATAATCCTAATAGAGTTCTGTCCAGATAGTACCTGCATACCTTTTATCATTTTCTGTTTGATTTTTTAAAAACTGAAATATTATTTGGCTGTTTCTTTGTAGCTTCTTGTTTGGAAAATTTGAAACACAGAGGAGAAACGATAGCTAAGGAGATGAGTGAAGCCATGAAGGTAACAGCTGTGTGCTACAAATTCTAAAATGAACGAATGTGTGTGGCTGTATATTTGCTTTCAATGTCTGTTTGAGTTTTAGTCTACTGTAATATACATTCTTAGTAGTCTTTTCAGTAGATCTTTTTAATACATTTATTAAGCAGTAACATTCACAGTGCCGTTTATCAGGCACTTACTAGTATGTACCAGGTATTATAGCTAGTTTTAGGGGTTGGTTATGTTTTGGGGATTCTGCATATTAGCTGTCCATTAAATACTTTTGGATAATAGTAGTAGCCAACATTTATTAAGCTCTTGGTGTAAACTAGGGAGCAGCTAACTGCTTTTCATTTACTCTTTTAATCTTTTATTCTTTATTCTAAGCCTACAAGATAGGTACTGTTATTTCTCCATTTTGGATATGAGGAAACTGAGGCGCCAAAAAGATAAGGAGCTAAGCGCAGGGCTTTAGGATCTATTCCCACCTTTTCATGACAGGGTGGGGCTCAGGGCCTCAGTACACTAAACACATGCTTCAACACCCGCTACACCCCGCCCCAGGGTTCATGCTTTTACCACCATGTTACACTGTTTCTGAAGAGTCTAAACATTACAATAAACATGTTTACATTTTGGTATTTTACCTAAACAAGAAAGCATGTGGATTTGTAGTATGTGAAAATTATTTTTAAACTCCTTCAGAAACTCCTGTTCTGACATTAATTTCTTGGAACGTTTTGTGACTTAGATTGATTCTGTACTTTTCTGGTGCTCCTCTGTCTCTCGTGGGGCGTGCTGGTCCAGGCTAAAGTTCAGCTCCTTTTTGTAAATACACTTTATTGGAACGCAGCCACACCCATTCACCTGCTGTCTGTGGTTTCTTTTGCACTGTACCAGCAGAATTGAGTATTGATGACAGACACACCATCCCTCCTGAGCCAGAAGTAATTACTGCCTGGTCTTTCATAGGGAAAATGTGCTAATCCCTGCTGTTAAGATTTTTAAAGTGCTCCTTATCCTAAAGTAAAGAATTCCAGACATTAACTCCTTAGCTCTAAGATTCTAGTACTCCTGGGTCATTACCAGCAGTTGTGAGGATAAAATGTATCTTTTTAGTTTTAACTTTGTAGGTAGAATTTCTCAGCTGTAACTGTTATTTTGAAGATTCAAGTAAAATATTCCTGACCTCAAAAATATAGATCTTAAAAAAAGGTTTGACCTAAGGAATTAAAAATGTAATATTGTGTCTGTTTCTTTAAATTTTTTTCAGACTTTGCCTGTACTGATTGAACGAGCTGATGGATTTTCCCAAGTTTTAAGGATGCAGCCTATTATTCAGCTCCAGAGGATCCACCAGGAAATCTTTTCCAGTTGTGATCAGAAACCAGATGCTAAAACTGAGAGCGCTGTAGCACAAATAGAAGCCACACCCACAGACAACGCTCCTTGGCCAGCCTCTAATATGGTGCTGAAAAGAAGACGGCCTCCAGACTGCCCCCAGAGAAAGTGGTATCCGCTGCGGACCAGGATGCAGCCCAGGAGAATTAATCTGCACTCGTAAGGCCTCTTGGCTCATTTGGGGAGTGGAAAATAGGATCTGTCAGCATTTACAGTACAGCCTACATGCCTAGGCAGGGCTTCATGTGAAACATTTAAATAACTCTTACCAAAATGCTAGGATATGACGTAATATATTTTTTCTTTATCATTTGATCTGTAGTAGACAGAGTAGTATTTTTTTATTAAAACTTTTAAAATATTGGCACAAAGCCCATCAATGGACATTAAAGGCAGATTGGTACTACCTTTAAATGCCATCACCTCTTTGCTGCCTCACGGCTTTTGTGAAATTCCATGAGAAACGTATTCTGCTGGGTTTCCCTGATAGACATCTTTCTTTCCTTAAAAAGGGAAGGGCTGCATATTATTTAGTGCTGAAAGCAAACCAGCTCTACACAACAGCGGGTGTTTTTCTCTAGGTGCAGCTGTTTTGTTTGTTTATGGCACTGGGTTTTGAACTTGGGGGTTCAGGCGTTCTGGCATAACCTTTACCCCATCCCTAGATACACTTTATCAAACTGACGTCCGGATGCCAAGACGGCTGTGGCTTGGTCAATCTAAATTCGGCTCATTTGCATCTGTAGGATGAATTTTAATTTTGGGTTTCTTTTTTTTTTTTAAGAATTACTCTGGGACCGCGATTTAGCTCAGTGGCTTAAATGCCTGCTTGGCAAGTGCAAGGTCATGAGTTTGATCCCTCGTACCAAAAACAAAAAATTACTCTGAAGCATAGGCTGGTATCTCTTGCCCATGCTTGTTTTCATGGACCTTTGACTGCAAGCTGACATGGAGCTGGTAATTCCTTTTTAGGAGTCTTCATTTCTAGCTAGGTCTTTCCACTTGAAAGTAAGTATCAGGTTATTACCGGCAGATTGTCGGCAGATTGTCGATGTGCAGCAAAGGCACTCATACTGAGCTGTTTCACATTTAAGGTATTTACACGTTAAATGTCTAATCATGGACAGAGGCCCGAGGAGCCGTGTGCCCACACTTGGACCTTTAACTACAGTGTCTGATAGTTTCACTGAGTGTCTTGCACTGTACATGTAGGCGAGACACCTGATTTACCAGCTGTTTCCCCTTTTGATGCCTATAATGCCTTCATCCATTTTCAGAAGAATTTGCTAATCATGGTTTAGAAAATCTGTACTTCTCAGGCTTATTATCATAAATGTCTGTATTTGTCTACTCAGTCTCACTGAAGAAAACTTACCATGCCACTTTATTATAGTCTTGCATTTCATGTTTTAATGTTACATTTCAGACCTGTATATTTGTATATAGCAGTGTTCTTTTTTGTATTAAAATAATGTACAGAGACCAAGACCTTGGAGCTGTGTATGTAAGTGTTGTTTTGGGCGTTCTTGAACTCCGCTTTCGAGGCCAGCGGCCAGCACCTTCCACAACAGGACACACTGACTTCGTTTCAGAGCTCTTCTTCGCGTCCCCACGGTGCTTCAGTGCTGCCTCAGGTGTAAGATTTACAGCTCTGTGTTTGTTTTACTTCAGACTTGCCAAACCAAGCAAATGATAGTTAATTCTGTAATATTTTAGGAGAGAATTACTTTTTGTTATATAACCCTCCCCCTGTTAAGGAATGTATATTGAGACACATAGAATTAGTTTTAAAAAAAGTAAAGCGCCAGGCATGGTGGCACACACCTGTAATCCCAGCTGTGGGAGGCTGAGGCAGGCAGCTGGCAAGTTTGAGCCTGGCCTGGGCAACTTGATGACTTTGTGAGACCCTGTTTCAAAACAGTAAAATGGGCTGGGGATGTAGCTCCTTGTGAAGGCCCTGGGTGCAATTCCCAGGGCCAGAAAAAGAAAAAGAAAAAATAACTACATTAAGCAAATGTGGCAAAAATCTTGATATTACTACATCTTTGTGATAGACATATTCTTTCTTTCTTTTTTTTGGTACTGGGGTTCGAACTGATGACCTTGCACTTACCAAGCAAGTGCTTGAGCCACTGAGCTAAACCCCGGGCCTGTGACAAAATTTTTTTTCTACTTTTGTGTCTGAAAATTTTTTAATTTTTAAAAGTATGTTTTATTATACAACCAGACAACTTGAAATCTTGAGAGCCCAAAGTTTTACTCCATAGTTAAGCAGAGTTTAAATAAAAATATCATTGGAAAAGGCAACATCTGAACATTATTAGTTGAGAAAAACATGACTACATCTGTAATACGGAAGAAGTGTGCATGGTAAGAGGGGCCTTGCATTTTTGCATAGGCCAAGGACCACCAAGCAAGGGTTGAAGGTAAAGTCAGTAGTTTCAGGGAATGTTGGCAAGGCAGAAGGAAAGACTGACAATGAAACCTTGAATTGGATAGGGTATTCAGCTTCTTTCCTGGGGTGATGGTGTGTCCTAGGGGGACAGCATTTGCCTAGCATGTGTGAAACCCTGAGTTTGGTCACAGGACCACACACAACAAAATCTCAGCAAGGAATATAATGGTCCAGTCCAGTCACCAGGGGCAGAGAAGGGCACCCAAGGGGTGATGGGAGTGCTGTCAGATCGGCACTGGTAATGGTCACTTGCTGGGGGACTGTGCTTGTAAAAGAGTAAGAGGCCTGATAGGGGAAGTGTATCTCAAATCAAATGACAAAGTAGAGATGACACACAGATGCTCGGCTGAAGGTGACGGGGTGCTGTGGTTCAGATGTGGGTGTCCCCAAGGTGTGTTGAGGCCTGGTCTTCACGTGACACTGCTCAGCAGGCCGTGGGACCCGTGACAGGTAAGTAGGTGGGGTTTACCTTCTTGAAAGGATTGGCGCAGTCCCTTCAGGACTGGATTGTTGCAGAGTTTGCCCTCCCCATCCTGCCCTCTTGCTTCCTGGCCTGCTGTCGGACCTCTGCACAAACCTGCTTGCTCTTCTACTTCCCATCAGACCTGAGGAAGCACAGACCCTCACCCAAAGCCAAACCTGTGCCATGTGCTTGGCCTCCAGAACCATGAGCTAAAATGAGTGTCTTTCCTTGATAAATCACTCAGCCAAAGATGATTTTATTGCAGGAATAGAGGACAAAGACATCAAATCTGCAGAAGGAAATGACCCACTGAGCATTAGCAAGTGGAATAAAAAAGACAAATATAGAGATAAAAATCACCCTACCAAGGCATGTTATTGAAAAATGATAGACAGATAGACCCAAGCCTCTCTCCGTGAGTCAGAGCCATTCACAGTCTGGGGGAGAGAGAATAAGACCACACCAGCAAATAAGCCCAGTATGGGAACCAGCGCCATGTGCAAGCCGCTGCCAGACTGGGAACAGCCAGGCTCACCTTCCGGTGTGCGGACTGACAAACAAGAAGTGCACGTCTCCCACCCCTGCTCCTTAAGCGACCGGCTTATCCAGAGGAACAGGCTGTGATGATCGCTATGGAGGTGAAATACAGTTGGATGCCTGTGGTGCTTTGGTGCTTCACTAACATCACAGGTCTAGGGCCAGGGGTCTGATCGTAGGTTCAGAGGATAGTGGTACACAGTGTGGCATCTAGGGGGGAATCCCTTCTGAGAGCTGCAGCCATTGTTGATTCCCTGTGATCTTGTTTTGGAAGTTCTATATCATTTCCATTGTTTTGTTGGGTTGGGTTTTACTCCTGTTTTTTTTTATGTCAAATCTGATGGCAAGAGCAGCTATTTCAAAGATAGCAAAATGTATTATGGTAGCAATTTTGGATTTACTAAAGGCTTGTTTTGAAGTCCTTTATTGCATCCATTGTCTTGTTTTTATTGTTTCTATTCTATTCTGTTTTGTTTCTTACTATGTCCAAAGTTACCTGTAGCTATTTTGAAGACATCAAAAGGCATTAAGGTATCTATTGTTGATCTCATAATGCTTTGAAGTCCTGTACCTCTTACATCTGTTTTGATTGGTTTTATTGTTTCATCCTCTTTAAAATAAAATAAATTTTAAAAAAGAGAAATAACACCAGGGATAAAGAAAGGTTTTTAAAGTTTCCAGCAGAAGAAAAGGATAAAATAAGAATTGAATTGGTACTGAATTACTAAACTGTTCTAGAACCTCCAAGACCCAGAAGCAATGCAATTTGGAAATGGCATAAATGGCTGGCAGACGTGTTCCATCCTCAGCCAAGCTGGTGTCAGATATGATCATTAAGGGCTCCAGAAGCCATTCTCAGATATGCAAATTCTGAATGCGAATAAAAGTACCTTGAAAGAAGCCTGTGTGGAGACACTACTGGGGACATGGCCCACTGCGAAGGCCAAGCAGAAAAGCTCCCATGGGAGCTGGGAAATGGACATCCCTGACACAGCAGCCCCAGTCAAAGTCTAACTACTCAGCTGGACTGGAGAGTGATCCTCTGAGACCAGATTGAAAGCATCTGTATTTTCAGGAGGAGAAAGTACAACTGACAACATGACTGCCCTAACCCCTTGGACATTGTGGTGTATCCTATGGCATTGTTTAGATGCTTAAGGAAACAAAATATCAGGCAGGTTACTTGTTTTGTTTTGAAACAGGGTCTCACTATGCAGTTCAGGCTGGCCTTGAGCTCACTTTGTGGAGGCTTTGTGGAGCAACAATCCTCCTGCCTCAGCCTCCTGAGTGTTGGGATTACAGGTGTGTGCCACCACGCCCAGCTAGGCAGTTATTCACTATGGTAAAGCACAAAACTACACAAGGAATATAATCACAATTTATTGGGTCCTGATCTATATCCCCGATCTCCCAAATGAGTGTACAGCGGAGGTTAAATAAAAAGAGGCAAATTGTATGATTTTATGGGCTCCAGGAGGGTCAAAACCCTTTAGTTAAGCTTGCGACTCTGAGGGCTAAAGACAAAAGCTTCTCTGGACTGTCCACTTTAGTTATGAAATCCAACAACAAGGGGTGGGGAAACTGAGGAAAACACAGGCAATGAGCAGGACCTTGGGAGTCACTTCAAGGACATCTCCAAGTAATGAATCAGGTCAATTCAGTAGCACTGTCTTATCATGAAGACGTGGTAGAAGTGAGACTTTGGGAGTGATTTATGCAGCTGCAGTCTCTTATCTTGTTAATTATGGTTGGAGCGAAGTGTCCGCAGCTGTGGCCTTATCTTGGTATCTCTGTGGCCTTTGAGGTATCTCTGGCCTCACAGGCCACTACAGGCCTCAGCCAGGACCAGTGATTCATAGAGGTTCACTTACTATGAATCAGCTCCCATTGCCTAGGACAGACTCACAGATAAACATAGAAAGCAAATTAATAAAATTTAAATCCTGCTCAGAGCCACTTCATAGCAGTCTCCAACAATAGTTACCAAGTGGTTCCATGATGAATGATATTTACATAGACATGATAAAAGTTAGAAGGTCCTATCATACTGGGAGGCTGAGCGTGGGAGATTAGCGCAAGCCCCGCCCTGAGCACTCAAACGGACATTGCCTGAAGACTTCTGGAGCCCCTTTAAGTGCAGAGTCCAGGTGCATCCAGATGCCCTGGCATGGGCCTCAGCAGCCAGAGGAGTAGGAGGTGGCAGTGAGGAGGCTCATGTACCAACAGACAGTTCGTGTGGTTGTCCCAGTGTGGCCATCCAAATCCCGAAGTGGGAATATTGGGGTGTGGAAGCTGTATCCCCCACTACTGAACACCAGGGAATAATCCCTTAAATAGCTGAATCAAGGGACTCTACGACACTGATATTAGTGAATACCAGTGTACTTATCTGAGAGGACTGGGCCAGGGACTTATTTGTTGTTGTTATAATCTTGGAGATTTCACTTTTTAAATTTCATGCAAATAACAGAAGTATAGATAAACTATCACAAGTAGACGTGAATTATTTTCTACTCACCATATCCTTAAAAAGAGCTAAGTATTTCAGCTGTCTCATGCTCAGAACCAGCTTGACATGATACAGAGTGGGCAGTGATTAATATTAATAAATCAGCACAAAAATAAATTGAGAGTCTGTCTTAGACTACACGACTTATGGCACAGTCTGTGGCTGGCTCACAAACAGATTAATTTTTAAGCCAGAGTTGAGTCCAGCAAATGGTGTGTGAAGTCCTGGTGCCTCAAAGCAAAATAACATGGCAGCTGAGGACTGATTCCTTCTAACTCAGTACTTGCAGTTAGCAGACAATCCGGTTGCTAGTTAACTATTATCTCCTCCTGTGTGCTTTTCCAAAAACACGTGGTGCCTCAATCCTTAAACCTGACCTCATCAGCACCTCTGATGCCGCAGTTCACCAGTACACCTCCAATCAAGCTGTGCACCTAACAAAGGCCAAAGACACCATGCCTTGTGGTCTTAGTCCTTACTGGGCTTTGACCAACCTGGCGCCTTTGTAATAAATATATATCTTATCTGTGTTTTATTCTGTCACCATACAACTGAGCAGGAGGAGATCCATGGGCCTAGACCAGGGCCCTGAGCGACAGTCTTGGGATTTCAGTTGTGTTATCCCAGTATATTTCAGATAGGATTTGTAATCTCTGTTATTGGTTGAGAGATACAGTTTTGGTTTCTATGAGGTTTTTTCCGCCTCCTTGACCTTTTGTTTTGCAAACAGATTCTGTTGTCAAACCTCTGTGTACAGAATGGGAGAAAAACATAGCAAAACACTGAAGTGATCTTGGGGATTTTATATGGAATAATTGGGGAAATTAACATTCATCTGAAGCTTAGGAATGAAGAGTCCTGTAATTAACAAAGAACAGAACACTGGGTTACAATGGCCCATCCCATTACTGTAAATTTGTATTGCAGCATAATAGTAGCTGGCGGCCCATCTCAGTAGCTGCACTTGGGGGATACAGGAAGCAACCTTCCTGCTTGCCCACTTGATATGACAATGGCAAGGTGTGTGTGTGCACGTGCAAAAATGTCAAACTGGGCTTTTTACTGACATAATCCTCCATCTAACAGGTTTTTGTGTTTGTGTAACCAAGCATCATAGGGGTAAAATATACCCCCACCACTTTTGTGTTCTGTAAACATGTATTTCACCACACGTGGAATGTGGGTGGGACTCGTAGTAGCTGCACCTGGACCAAGAAAAAGCCCTTCTGTGCATTCACCCACTTGGCAGACACAGCAAAGTGGGTAGAGAGCTAAAGCAGCACCAGGTGACTTTTACCCCTGGACTGCTCATTGCTAGATTTCTGTGCATTTAGAATTTGGTTTTCTTTAGATTTTTTTTCTGGTAGAAGTACCCTAATTCAGTACATTGGAGCATGAGAAACCAGATTTGCAAGTTTTGGAGGTCAAGAGTGAATCATTATATAATTCATCAAGGATGATGATGATAATGACTTGATGTTGGTCATGTGAGCTGAAGTTCTTGTGACAGTGAAATGGAGCAGGAATTGATCAAAAAACTGGGCATGGTGGCACATACCTATAATCCCAGTACTCAGGAGGAGATGGAGGCAGAAGTTTTGCTGTGAATTTGAGTACAAAGTTTGAGCTCAAGTTCTGCCTGAACTGCATAGTGAAACTCTGTTTCAAAAAGACAGACAGACAGGGGCTGGGGATTTAGCTCAGCGGCATAAACGCCTGCCTTGCAAGTGTGCAGTCGTGAGTTTGGTCCCTGGTACCGATAAAAATAAAAAAGACAGAGAGAGAAAGAAAGAAAAATTAACCAATACAGACACAAGGAATGCAGACCTCCTGATTCAGATGACAAAATAGCAATATAAGTACATACATATTTGATTAGTTGAAATGTTGTGAAATGGCTATGAACCAAACAGAAAGATCCAATGTTGAACTAGGTCTGAAAATATAGGGAGGATGTTGGTAGGGGTGAACCTGTTGAACAGAATGCCAGCTGCCTTTCAGTGTTGGAAATTGTAACAGATGAAATGCTACAAGATGTCTTGAAGCACACAAATGCTGACATACAAGTGGCATGTTCTGTATGCATCAATGTGCATGCTCAAAAATGCATTTATTATGACCCCTCACTAGCTGAATTGAACACATACACAGATCTGCTGCACTTGGGAGGGCTTTCTATTGGTAATCACAGGAATGTAAAAGACAGAAAAGCAATGGGTGTGTAGAATAAACTTTAGAGACTAATGATGACACTGAGGAGATTGGAGTTTCCTTCAAAATTGCCTGAGGTTTGATGACAAGAAAGAAAAAGAACCACAAATCTGGCTGTTATCTGCTCATGATTTGTGGGTGATTGTCTGGTAACTTACACACCATCTGAAAGATGACTATTGATGAACATCTTGCAGCATTTCATGGTTGCTGTAGCACCAGGCAGTATATTGCTCAAAATCCTTCAAAATGTGGCATGAAAATCTGTGCCTTTGAAGATGTGAAGACTTATTAGGCTTTCAACTTAGAAATTTTCCTGGAACAGAGCTATTAGGTCCTTATTCATATAGTAATAAGCCAAATGATGTGGACAGACTTCCTCCCATCTCCCCAACTAATCAAAACTTGACATTAGACAATTGGTTGACCAGTTTCCAACTGATGTTATACTTGCTAAAAGAGCACAAGTTGACCAGTGAAGGAACTGCCTGCAGGAACAAAGCAGAAATTATAAATGAAATCTTGTAATCTCAAAACAGAGAATTTTATAGTACAATCTTTGAATTTCAGAAAGATATGTTGACCTTGTATATGGCAAGGAAAAATAAAGTGATACTGCTGATGTCAACATTGCCCCATGATGGGAATAATGATAGGGAAACACTGACAAAGCAGAAGCCCTAGATGGTAACTTTCTACAACAAAACCAAAGGCGGAGTAGATGTTGAAGACTTGTGCAGCAACTATGATATCACTTGAAACATAAAGTGTTGGCCAATGGTTGTGTTTTGCTCAATCCTAAACATATGTAGCATAAATAGTTTGAGAGTTTACAAAGAAAACAGCAAATGCAAAATATCACAGAGAAATTTTCTTAGAAGATTGGGGTGGGAACTCAGAAGAGATCATTTACAGCAGAGGACAAACAAAATGTTTCTACCTAGGGAACTATGCAAAATATGAAGCACACCAGTGAACTGACAGGTGAACAGGCAGGCGCAGCACCCCAGACACCTACAATGACAACAGGAAATCAAAAAGACATCAGCTATTCCCTCCATGACAGGACAGTGTTATGGTTTGTATCTGGATGTTCCCCAAAGCCTCATGCAGTCATGGGGGCAGGCTTCTAGAAATTGTGACTGGTTCATGGTCCAATGCTGGGATTATAAGTGTGAGTGTTACACTCACCCTAGGGTGTGGCCTGCATACAACATGAGGAACAGAAAGGGTCTTGTCTCCTCACGTGCTCCTCTTTTTTTGACTCTTACTGTTTTTGCTGTTTTCCACCACCGTGAACTGTTGACCTTTGCCATGAGCCACTCTGCTTTGGAGCCATCCAAGTATGGATTGAAACCTCCAGAAACTGTGAGCTAAATAAACCTTTCCTTCCTCAACTTTGGGTGTCAGATATTTTGTCCCAACAACAAGAGAAAAGAAACCAACACAGCCAAGAAAATAAAATATATACGTTCTCAGTGTAAGGAGTGCTTGTGTAGCGAACATACAGTCTTCAAGAGTGAAGACTACCTTGGGTATGCTTTTTTTTTTTTTTTTTGGTACCAGGGCTCGAACTCAGGACCTTACACTTGCCAGGCAGGCACTTACACTACTGAGCTAAATCCCCAGCTTAGGTGTTACATTTGAAGCAAAAATCATGTGGTAGACCTTTGTCTGTAGTTCATGTGAGTTTTTTTTTCTGATGTGATGTTTTAGGTATTGTAAGCAAGTGCACAGATGATGTGAAAATGTTGATGTTTATTCTGAGTGTGCAATACATATTAAGAATTTATACTTTATTTTGTTGCTGTCCTCTATTCCTGTTAATCATACATTATATAATATAAAAATCTCCTGAAAAACAGCAAGAACAGCAAGAGTATGTCTTACAAAATCAGGAAATCGAAACACATGTGTTGTTACTATAAGCTATATGTGTCTTTGGAACGTCCGCCGTAGGTGTGATAATTGAAGTAAAAATTATTTGTATTTGTATTCTTATTGTAGTTCATACAGGAATTTATTTCTGTGGTTATTTTTTAATACTTTGTACACCAAAAAAGTCGATGTTGAAAATTGTGATGCTTCTTCTTTTTCTTCTTTTTGGTACCAGGGATCAAAGTCATAACCTTGCGCTTACCAAGTAGGCACTTGTGCCACTGAGCTAACCCCCTGGCCCGTGATGCTTCTTTATAAACAATAAATCTTAAAAATTCAGTACTTAATGTTTTGATGTTTTTTCCTGTTAAATACTCATTTTTTAATACAATAAAACTCATATAGTTTAAAGTCACCAATAGAAATAGCCTAGAGATAAACGCAGGTGTTATGCAGACACACAATAGTGTGGCTTTGCGACAAAACCAGCCTTATGCCACCTCATTGCAGCCTCTGTGGTTTGCACCCCTTGGGCCCTCTATTACTGTTAGTGGGATAAATTAGTTCATATTGCCAATTTCCAGCTTGTCAGTTCCCTAACATCACTATCCCAGACATTAATAGCTTGTGCGTTTGTGTGGATTGATCATTAAGCTTAGATACAAGCTTGCTATTGCAAAGGAGGGGAGGGCTTGGTTCTAAGGACAGAGGGCAGAATCACTGGGAAACACCTGGACTCTCCTGGCTCCCACAGCTGAAGTGTGGATCCTGTGGGGCACGGCAGGGTTGGCACTCACACCCTCAGGTCCACCGCAGGCCCCCAGTGGCTCTTTGCTGAATCCCTTGGCCTCTGGTGGCCTGGAGTCACCAGATAAGAAAACTCACTTCCTGGACCTCTGCGCTGAGTCACAGGCCTGTGGAAGGTCAGGCACTGGTGTCTCTCCTGGTGCCACAGTGGTTTCAGCGTCCTTGGCACACAGGCCTCGTGTCTACATCCCCTGAGGGCGTAGACACCCCAAGAGGATGCTGGCAGGCAGCTGAGCTTTAGTTAGTTTGCAGCACCCCTTTTTCCCAGGTCCTACACATCCCAGTTCCAGGGTCTCATGACCTTTTCCAACCGCATTCCAGACAATCCTGGAAAAGCAGTTTCCAGGCATGCCATCTTCTATTGCATAAGTACCTCCAAATAGCATGCAAAGAGGTGTGTGGGCACATGGCACGCGTGTAAACCAAGGCACAGACCCTGGCCATGCACGGTGTGATGTGGTCACAGAAGCTGTCAGGGAGGAGTGGGGGCCCCTAAGGGAGCACATCGAGAGCTGAACAGGGTGAAGGAGCCTGGAAACCGCACCTTGCTCCCAGAGGGAACAGGAGAGTGAAACTCCCTGGTGCCTTCTGTGGAATTCACTGGTTGCAGGATGGCTTTGTGTTTGTGAAAACCAAGTCAGCACCCAAGAATTCCTGTCAGTGGTTGGCAAATTCTGATATTTCCTGCAACTCCTTTTTGTTGTAAGCGTAACCCGACACTTCTTTAAAAAGTTTCCCCCTGATTTGTTTCTTTAGAAATAGCCTTTACCAAAATCACACCGCATCACTTCTTCACACTCAGGGGGAACAGAAGTTCACACACAGAAACCAACCCTGCTCTCTGAGAGCCCTCAGCCAGGCTGCCCTCCCTGAAGCCTTCAAGGAACCCCCTGGGGCTGCAACAGGGGGCAGGGTCAGGTCTGGCCACTCTGGCAGTGATAGGATCCCACCCTCTGGGAAGTTGATGACCCCCGTAGGTGACCTTTGTCCCCTCTGCCCTCAAATACATCCGGTCAGAGCTTCTGGATTCTCAGAAATCATTTTCTTCCTAATAAAACTCCACTTCCCTTTCATGAAGATATTGTTAAAACACCCACGGTGTCAGATTCATCATAGCTGCATGAGGTCACCTTTCATTTCACTCTGAGTAGTTCAGGGTAAAAGTTATCCGCTGCCTGCCTGGCAAGCATGAGGTCCTGAGTTCGATTCCCGGTATGCCTCCCCCACCCCCAGAAAGTTCCAGTTTCATCCAAGAGGCTTTGATACAAGGAACAAAAAGCATGAAATTAAGGAAACATCTTTTTGGTTTTTTTAAAGAACAAGACAACAAAGTCCATCGAGACAGTGCAGTGAAACTGATACAGAACTTCACAGCAGGATACGGGATAACAGTAATAGGTACCACAGTATATCTCGTTATCTTCACAATAGTTCTTTCAATCAGGTATAGCGAATTCAAACCAAAAGCAGAACATCATAAAACCAATCGAGAGAGAATATTGAATGGGGCAAAACAATTAATCATAACAAAACAAAACATCAAAGAAAATCACAAGTGGAACAAAAAACCATGAAAACAATATTTGCCTTCAAAGAGAAGACAGAAAGAAATCCCCCCTATTTGCTACAATGCATATGGTCGGCCTTCCAAGAGAGGCTCAGACTCTGTTCCCAGTTGCTAATGGGAGCCGGGGAGGGGGAAGGATGGGATGTTTGATTGTCAGCCTGTGCTCCCAAAGGCTCATGGGAGCCGCTGACTGGTTCTCCTGGCTCATGCTGGGGCGCCTACCAAGAAACACCATTTAAATTTTTAAAAAGATAAAAGTTTCCTGAAGAAAAGAAAGAGATAAAAAAAAAAAAAAACATAGCTGCAAGGGTAGCAAAAGGTGGTTAGTAGTGTCTATTACAAAACTGTTTAAAGTATATGCATTATATATTATGTATATACCTGTATTACATCATACATTTTATTATATATATAATTATTATTATCTGGACATGCAATCTCACTGTTACCTAAGCAGGTCTTGAACTCTGAGATTCAAATGATCCTCCTGCTGCAACCTCCCCAGTAGTGTGGACTACAGGCAGGTACTGTGCTCAAATAAAACAGTATATTTTACTTATTTATTTATTTATTTTGTCTTTTTGAGACAGGGTCTTCCTATGCAGTTCAGGCTGGTCTTGAGCTCACTTTATAGCTCAGGCTGTTCTTGAACTTGCAATGATTCTCCTGCCTCAGCCTCCTGAGTACAAAGATCCCATGTGCCACCACAGCTGACTGTAAAGTGGTATATTTTTAAAACGGCATATATCAGGTCCCCAAAATTCAAAGACCTAATCCAAAAGTGGTCATCTGAGATGAATACATATTTACCAGATGAAGAAATACAAATGCCAAGTAAATATATGAAATAAACGTTCAACATTATTGGTCATTCAAGAAATGCAAATTACAACAACACTAAAATTCCATCTCACCCAAGAAAGAATGGCTATCATCAAGAAATCAACCAATAACAAATGCCTGTGGGGCTGTGGGAAAAAAGGAATCCTTCTCCACTGTTAATTTGATGGCAGACTGGTACAAACACCATGAAAATCACTGTGGAGATTCCTCAAAAAAACTAGGATTAGAGGTCCTTATTTGACCCAGATTCTCCTTCTAGGTATTTTTCCAGAAGAATTGAAAACTTTATATCATAGTGATACATGTGCACCTGTGTTTATAGCAGCACAATTTGTAATAGCTAAATCTTGGAAACAACCCAGATGCCCATCAACTGAGGAATGGGTAAAAGAAAGAAGTGGGTTTTACAAAAAATATGATGGAGAGCTACTCAGCCATGAAGAAGGATAAACTGGAAACTTTTATAGGCAAATGGATGCAACTTGAGACCCTACTCATTCCTAAGTGAAATAAATCAGACACATATGTATTTAACATCATATTGTCTCACTAGTGTGAGAAACTGAACAAGTCAACATACTCGGAAATGTATACTAGATATTGCGAATTGGGAAGAAACTGTTCAAAAGAAAAGACAAAGTGTGATGGGGGAAAAGAGGAAAGGTTGGAGGGCCACCTGGACAACTCTCCTTGAATACAGAGCAATCAGCAGTTCTTTGGCTCAATTTAGCCCTGTCTCCATGCACTGATCTGCACAGAGCTGGCCACGCTGTTTCCTTTTCCCTTCCATTGGCTCTAAGTGATGTAAACAGGGCTGGCTGAGGCGCTGAAGTGTGATCCTTGAAGCTGGGTGGCAGTTGGTATTTCCCACCCCAGTGTCTCACGGCTGCAGCTGGGTTCAAGATAAGAGGCGATGGCATTGCAGGGCAGAGAAGCCTGTGCATCAGAAGCTAGAGCAACTGGCGTCCTGAACATTAAGCACTCCCTGAGCTGTGTTATGCAGCCTGGTCTTTCCGCATATCCTCCTCTCTGGGCATTGCAGAGGTGCTTTCTGGTCTCCTAGCTAGCTCAGCTCACGTTACTCCTGAACTTCCTGCTATTCCCACAGTCACGCAGCCTTCTTCACGAATTAATAAAATCTGGATTAGGCCCCAGGTTGTGGCCTTTTTTCTGTGAACCCTCATCTGGACCGGACTCGGGACGCTTTGGCCCGCCATAATTATAGATACATTTTAGTGTCTCTATTCTCACCATAGGTTGCACTAGAAGTGGTGACTCCCCGGAATGCCAATCACTTTTCCATGGGATTACAAATATAAAGTGCCACAAGAACAGGAAGGGGATTTGTAATCTATAGAAAGGGAAAAAGAAAAAAACATATACACATGACCTTGAAAAGAATGTTTTGTGCTCATGTGGTGTAGACAAGATATCACGCCTATATCCTGTACTCCAAATTACTATGAAGAAGGTATCAGTATGCAACATATCAGCTTCTCTAAGAGTCCTACTAACCTGTTTCGTAACTTAGTTTCATTCTTTGTTTATCTTTTTTCTCCTTAAAATAAAATACAAAATAAAAACAGCATACAGAAGATTCCCCTACAGTTGTGCAAAAATACTTCTTTTTTTTAATCGATACCGGAGATCAAACTCACGACCATGCACTTGCAAAGCAGGTGCTTATGCCGCTGAGCTAAATCCCCAGCCCCAAAAATACTTTTATAACTGTTTAATATAATATTTGGCAATTTAAATTTAACATAATATTTGCCAAAAGCCCCATTCCTTCCCATGTGTTGGGCGATCCCTGCGTGCCAAGCTTCCCAGTGTCTTCTCACACAACCTTCAAAGCCACCAGGAGGATGGCACAGGCTGTTATCAGCTTCATCGTGGGGTGAAGAGCAGAAGAGGAGGAGGACAGGCAGGCACCTGGCGCCTTCCTCACTCTTTACAGTCTCTGCACCAACCACGGCTGGCCTCAGCCACCTGCACTGTGACACCACAGGGGACTAGCAGTGTTCCGGCACCCCCACAGTGGCATACACCAACATATGCTAACATGTGTTTCTGAATGCCTTGAGAGTTAATGAGTAGCTAAGGCAGAAAGTACTCAGAGTCCTCT